GCGCGGTGTTCTTGGGGTGGCCGCTGTCCCCGGTGCTGACCGGGACCGAATGAACGGGGCCGCTGTCCTTGGTGCTGACCGGGGCCTCTGACCAGAGTCGCTGACCGTGGTGCTGACCGGGGCCACTCACCGGAACCGCTGTCCTCGGTGGACTGAATGACCGGGGACCGAATGACCGGGGCCACTGGCCGCGGTGCTGACATCCGGGACCGATGGACCAGGGCCACTGTCCCTGGTGCTGACCGGGACCGGTGACCGGGGCCGCTGTCCCCGGTGCTGACCGGGACTGATGGACCAGGGCCCCTCACCGGGACCTCTGTCCGCGGTGCTGAGCGGGACCGAATGAACGGGACCGATGACCGGGGCCGCTGTCCCCGGTGCTGACCCAGCCCGCCCGCTGTCAGGGGCCTCCCACGCCGCCCAACCCGGGATCTCCCCTGGCTCCGATCCGGCTCCAACCCGGCTGACCCGAGCCCAGCCCTATCCCTGCTGCACAGGATAACTGCTCCAGGAGCCGGGGATCCCCCAGGCCGTGCACTAACAGGGTGGGTGAAGGCCCTGCCCGTGTCTCAGGGCCTTCATCCCTCTGCACTACCACGTGCAGACAGTGAACTCGCCAACAGATTGGGCAGGCTCTGTTTCCCAGGCAGTTTCCATTGTGTTCATCCCAGCACGCTCACAGTGCAGTGTTTGTGGTGCCAGGCTCTCAGACCCCAGCTCGTTTCTCTCTCCCTGCGTCAATCCCGCCCCCCAGCACTGCATCATCGCTCCCGTGGGTGACAAACCCCCCCAAACCTCCCTGACAGTGACGTATCCTGAGAAATGTGCACCCTGCAGTGGATTCGGGAAGCTCGAGGGCTCTGGCCTTTGCTCTTGTCAGGTTTTCTCCCACTGGGCTGGGGCTGGCACTCCATGGCTGGGAGAGGCCTCCCCAAGAGAGAGCAAAGGGGGGCTGCAAACCTGAGCCCTTCCTGTGCGACCCCAGAGTAAGAGTGATTGTATCAAATGCTGAACAATCTCGATGATGATGATGATGGTGTGCTTGGCCCAGTCATGCAATCTGCAAACACTGAGATGACAGGGAGAAGGGAAAGGGACAAATCTCTGCTCTCCTGTTGCTTTGGAGTGGCCAAAAAGCACTTGGAGGTGTTCATGGAACTGTTGGAACATGTGGGAGGGTCTGTGCTGACACCTCCAAGGCAGACAGCTTTGGGTTTGTCTGTCCATCCCTGTCTCTGGGAGTGCCTGGGGAGGTGCAGGGTGGACTCTGTGACCCCCAGGGGCTGTGGGAGCATCATTTTTGGCATCAGAGCAGTGTGGCCTTATCCCTGGGCTGCAGGAGCTGGGGGGCTCCTGGCTGTAGGCCAGGGGTCTCCCATGGCACAGGAGGGCAGATGCCAGCCCTGCCCTTGGTGTCACAGACAGCAGCTATTGGCCCCCTCCCCTTCCAGCCCACCCTCTCCACACTGGGGTCTTTCCAAACCCTCTCCACACTGGGGTCTTTCCCCAAGCACAGTTCAGTGCCTGGGGGTGCTGGGAGCACCCAAATTCTTCCCTGCTCATCTCCCCAGAGAGAAATGCCTGCCTGGCTTCCCCCACCGCTGCCCAGATCCTCCCGTGCCCAGAGGCTCGAATCTCTCTCCGTTTTTCTCTTTGAAGTGACTTCAGACTCACTCAAGGTTCGGGATTTCTGTGCTCTGTTCAGGCAGCCTGAGCTCCTTGGGCAGGGGCCTGGCTCAGCTTTCCCGGGAAAGCTGCTGGACCCTCTGAGCCCCCCGAGCCCCCTGAGCCCCCTGAGCTCAGCCTCGAGGACCAGCCGAGCTCTGAGCAGGTTTTGGATGCTGTGCCAAAACCTCCTGCTGGCTGCTGTGAGTCCAGTGACTTGTCAGCATCTGTGTCCTGCTGTGACCGTCCCCTCGGGCTGCCGAGGCCCTGCGCTGCCCCTCTGCCACCACCTGCCCTGTCCCTGTGCCCAGCGGCTCTGGGGCTTGGTGCCACCACCTGCCCTGTCCCCAGTGTTGGAGTGACGGGGGGTGGCACGGTCAGGACAGATGGAAATGAGAGATCTCTGCAGCCAGGTCAGGAACTTGGGGTTTATTGCAAAGGGCCTGGGGGCAGGGCCCTGCTGGGAGCTGCCAAACACAGCTCAGAGCAGGCCCCAGAGAGGAGAGAGGATGAGAGGGTAAGAGGGTAAGAGAGTGAGGTTCCCATTAAAATACAATAAATCTTCTTCTGTGTTGAATATTCTAATTCTCACAAACCAATCTAGTACAAGACACAAATCCTATAGCATTTCCATACAGCCTATAAGAATCATTACATTACCACACTGTGTTACATTTTAAACCCTATAAACTCCTCTTTGGACCCCTTCTGCCAAGCTGTAGGGTCTGCTCTGACCCTTGGGCCTGTCTGCAAGCAGAGGGTGTTGTTTCATCAAAAGGAGATTACCTTCACCCAGCCACACCATTGTTTTCCAGTTGTTCAGTAACTGAGGTATCTCAAAGCTTGCTTTCATTTCAATCTTGCTTGTAGTTTCTATATTCTCAAAATCTTTTGCCAGACAATCATATTTATAAGGCTTTCCTGTTTCATCTTCCCCAACGCCCAGGGCCGGCCAATGTGCCCAGCGCCTCTGGGGCTCGGTGCCACTCTCTGCAGTGACACTTCCCGTGCCACCTGGCCATCGTCTGTTTGGGTTGGTGCTCTGTGAGACACCCGCTGCACGTTCTGTTTACCTCCCTGATTGCAGCCGAGCCGCTGGTTTCGAGTTTCTCCCTTCTCTCCCCTCCCCTTCTGCTGCTTTCAAGCGAATCTAACACATGTCCAAGCATCGGGCGGGCGGCGTGAGCGGAGGCAGCAGCGGCTGCATCCGAGCCGGGAGCGGCGCCAGGCTGTCTGCACAGGGCTGGGCTCGTCCCAGGGGGCTGCAGCGTGGCGGGACGATGCCACCGAGCCGGGCTGGCTGTGGGCACCTCAGCTGGCACCGCGGCTCCCCCAGCGCCGTGCCGGGAACGGGAGGTGCCCTGTGCCCTGCATCCCAGGTGTGCCTGCATCCCTCAGGTTCTCCAGGTGTGCCATCGGCCCCTGGATGTGCTGTTGAGCTCCTTTTTGGGTGGCTGAGCCCTCCCTGTGTGCTCCAGGAAAGCTGGATGAGGCCGGGCATATCACCAGCTGCGGATGTACAGATCACCAGCGGGATGGGACTGCTGGAACGTGCCTTGAGCTGTTTGATTTTCCAGCATCAGTCTCATTCCATGGGTATGACAATGGGAAGATGCCAGCAGCTCACATCCAGGCAGCAGATCAAAAACTCAATGTTACAACTTTAAAAGTTTTCTGGCCAATCACACAAAGCAAAAGCACATTGACAGTAGTTCTATCCAACCACTATAACCTTTGGTTAAACAATTCTTGCTTATTTCGAATACAATACCTGCTTGTAAGCCTTGAAACACAACACACAGAGCTCCATTACTAAGCTTAAAACTTCCTAACATCTCACTAGATAAACTTTTCTGCAGCTTAGGGAGTTATTCTAGACAAGCATTAATACACAGACCATTGTTCTGTTTGTCCTTGCTTTTCTACTTTTTACATAATTTTTCTGCTGACCAATCTCATGGCTGCTGCTTAGCTCCAATCACAGTCCTGCTCTCTCTGAGGCCTGCCTTTTGCAGCTTTCCCAAAACCCTCTGATTTTGTGGATTCCCACAAGGGATGCTGTGAGAGTGAAAGGGATGGGCAGCAGCAGGGGTCTGGGCTGCATCCTGCTTTCAGGCCACGGAGCTTGGCCATGAGCAGGATGCCCTTCCCTCAGTGTCCCTCCATCAGGGCTTGACTTTCTCCATCCCAAATCAAGCAGCTGTAATAATCCCTTGCTTTAATCTCGGGTCTGGGAAGAGCTGGCAGGCAGGAAGGTCCCCAGCACCTGTCACTGATGGATGGAGGTGCCAAGCACCCCTTGGGCCTTCAGGGGATCTCCCTGTGCCCTGCTCCATGGACTGCAAGCTGCACTCCCGTGCTTCAGCTCCTCGTGCCCTCAGGGCTTGCCAGGATCAGCTTTTTGGCAGGGTTTGGTGTGGCATTGGCATGTGGGGCACGGGCAGGGCAGGCAGAGCCAGGCAGGGCCCTGTGCCAGGCCCTGGCTGGGCAGGGGGAGGGGGCTGAGCCCCCATCAATAATTCAGCTCCATATTTATAGAGGGAAATGCATTGAATAATGGATGGTGGGTGAGGGGGGCCCTTGGGAAGCCAGCCTTGCTGCCACTGCAATATTTATCAGCCCAGTTTGCCGGGTGCTGCCTGAGGCTCCACTACGGCTGGCACAGGCTCACTGCTGAGGGCTTGGCTGGCACAGTGGGCACAGGCACCTCTGCCTGCTGCCCTCTACAAAAATGCACTGGGGGACGGAGCCCCACTGCTCTGGAGCCAGGCTGGGAGAGCTGGGGTTGCTCACCTGGAGAGGAGAAGGCTCCAGGGACACCTCAGAGCACCTTGCAGGGCCTAAATATGGGCCTGGATGTTGGGAAGGAATTGTTCTCTGGCAGGGTGGGCAGGCCCTGGCACAGGGTGCCCAGGGCAGCTGTGGCTGCCCCTGGATCCCTGGCAGTGCCCAAGGCCAGGCTGGAGCACCCTGGGCTAGTGGAAGGTGTCCTGGCCATGGCATGGATGTGGAATGAGGTGGATTTTGAGGTCCCTTCCAACCCAAACCAGCCTGTGGATCCTTTTCTGTCTGCCACTAGCCATGCTTGTTTCTAGGCTCAGAGAGGGATGTGAATACCCAGGGACAAATCCCCATCTGTCCCTCATCACAGGGGGCACCAGGGCCATGTGGCTTCTGGGAGGACCCTTCTCTGTGTCCCAGGCAGGTCCCCTCTGTGGCTGTGCCCACCTGGTCCCATGTGCCACCCTGCTCAGGGCCCCCAGGATCTCCCCCCTCCCTGGTGCCACCACCCCCCCACAGACCCAGAGCCCCTGACCCCACACCCTGTGTTACAGAGACACCCGTGGAAGATGTCGAACCCGAGAAACGGCGACACCAAGCCCCCATGTTTGCCCCGCAATGGACTGGTGAAGATCCCCACGCAAGCCAACGGCCTCGGCTCCGCCAGCATCACCAAAGGCACCCCCGCCGTGAAAAACCGCCTGTGCCAGCCTTCCTCCGTGCCTGCCATCCTCAGCCCGGCCTTAGCCCACCGCAGCGACCTGCCCATCCCCAGCCTGGCCTCCCCGCTCTCCTTGGCCACCCTGGCCAGCGTGTCCTCCCCTCCCGGCGCTTCCTTGGTGGGACTGAACGCCAGCGAGGGCTCGGAGCAGCCGTCCCCGGAGCGGCTGCCGGGCTCGCCCTCGGAGAGGCAGCTGGCCGTGGACGAGAAGATCCTCAACCGCCTGTTCTGGTACTTTTCGGCGTGCGAGAAGTGCGTGCTGGCGCAGGTGTGCAAGGCATGGCGGAGGGTGCTCTACCAGCCCAAGTTCTGGGTGGGCTTGACGCCCGTCCTGCACACCAAAGAGCTCTACAACGTCCTGCCCGGGGGAGAGAAGGAGTTCGTCAGCCTGCAGGGCTTCGCCGTCCGCGGCTTCGACGGCTTCTGCCTCGTGGGCGTCTCTGACCTGGACATTTGTGAGTTCATTGACAACTACCCCCTCTCCAAGAAGGGGGTCAAGTCCATGAGCCTTAAGAGGTCGACCATCACAGATGCGGGGTTGGAGGTAGGTGACCCTGCTGAAGTGACCGGGGTGACTGAGGTGTGCTGGTGGCGGGTCAGTCTTGGTGGCCTTGGGGACACACATGTGGACAGAGTGGTCACAATGAAGGAGCAGACAGGTGGCATGGCCACCCCACAGGTGCTGGCAGCACAGGGAGGCCCTGCCTGTTGTCTGGGCTGTGGGATGGGTGCAGCCTGTGCAGGGTCAGGAGGCTGTCGGGGCTGCATCCCTGCAGGAAGGCAGGGCCAGGTGAGGTGATGATGTGACAGTGGGTGACAATCTCTGGGGATAGGGCATCCCTGCTTGGCTGGCTGCTCCCCAGCAAGGGGGTCACCCAAGCAAGGGGCTGAGGGTCAGGTAGAGATAGGGTAACTCAGGGGGCTGGGCAAGGTCCCCACCAAGATCCTTGCCCCGTGCCATGGCCAAACACAGCACCAGCTGCTCCGTGGGCACATCTCACCTGTGCTGGGAGCGGCATCAATCCCCACCCTGCAGGAACACCTGGCACAGTGCTGGGGCTGCAGCCAGGGGTCCCTGCCTGTCTCCTCCCATTCCCCACTCACGCTGGTGTGACCTAAGGCAGGTGTTAAACCCATGCCAGGGAGGTCCCAGGGAGAAGACTGGACCCAACCAAGACTGGGAGCAGTGGGAAGAGCCCCAGGGTCTCAGAGGGAGCCAGGGTGGGGACACAGGGACACACACGGGTGGGTGGCAGTGCCCGGCCTGACGCCCTGCCCTCGGCAGGTGATGCTGGAGCAGATGCAGGGCGTGGTGCGGCTGGAGCTGTCGGGCTGCAACGACTTCACGGAGGCCGGGCTGTGGTCCAGCCTCAACGCCCGCATCACGGCGCTGAGCGTCAGCGACTGCATCAACGTGGCCGACGACGCCATCGCCGCCATCTCGCAGCTCCTGCCCAACCTGACCGAGCTCAACCTGCAAGCCTACCACGTGACGGACACGGCGCTCGCCTACTTCACCGCCAAGCAGGGCTACACCACCCACACCCTGCGCCTCAACTCCTGCTGGGAGATCACCAACCACGGCGTGGTCAACATGGTGCACAGCCTGCCCAACCTGAGCGTGCTCAGCCTCTCGGGCTGCTCCAAGGTGACGGATGACGGAGTGGAGCTGGTGGCCGAGAACCTGCGGAAGCTGCGCAGCCTCGACCTGTCCTGGTGCCCCCGCATCACCGACATGGCCCTGGAGTACATCGCCTGCGACCTGCACAAGCTGGAGGAGCTGGTGCTCGACAGGTAAAGGGCTGTGCTGAGCCGTGCTGTGCCGTGTGCCAAGCCATGCCATGCCACGCCGTGCTATGCCAAGCCATGCCAAGTCATGCCATACCGTGCTGAGCCATGCCATGCCATGCACGCCATGCCATGCCATGTTAAGCTGTGCTGTGCTTTGTCGCCCCATGACAAACCATGCCGTGCCAAGCCGTGCCATGCTGAGCCGCGCTGTAGCAGAGGGTGCAGCATGGGGGCCATGGTTTGGGGACACCCACGGGTGACCAGCTGGCTCTGACACCCTGTGTCCCGGCAGGTGCGTGCGGATCACCGACACCGGCCTCAGCTACTTGTCCACCATGTCATCCCTGCGGAGCCTCTACCTGCGCTGGTGCTGCCAGGTAGGTGTGGAACACGGCTGTGCCCGTCCCGGCTCGGCTCGGCACGGCAGAGAGGGCATGGTGGCACCTCCCTGGGCATGGGCCATGAGCTCGGGGCGGGCTCCCAGGGCTGGCTGAAGACCCCAAGACTTGGTGCCAGGGAGCAGAGAGCTCCTGTGAGCTCAGCAGGACTCAGCCCTGGCACCCTGACCCTGCATCCCCAGAGCCCGTACCCACTCCCTGCCCTGGCTCCCCGCTCCCTGTTGCACAGCCCAGACCCAGCACCCCGGCCCTGCACCCCAAATCCTGCCCCAGCATCCCGCTGCAACATCCCATATCCTGCTCAGGCTCCCCTCCCTGCAGCCTGTCCCATCACAGTTCCCTGCCCTGGCACCCAGAGCCAGCACACTGCCCCAGCATCCTGCACCCTGCTTCAGGTTCCCAGCCCTGGCACCAGCTCCCTGCCCCAGCTGGGCAATGCTGAGCCTGGTGTTGTGGTTGTCCCCATTATCCCCCCCTCATCCCCATCCCATCTTCTTTTCCAGGTGCAGGATTTTGGCCTGAAGCACCTCCTGGGCATGGGCAGCCTGCGCCTGCTCTCACTGGCTGGTGAGACCCTGACCCCCTACCAGGGACCAGAGACCCCAGGGGCTGGGGGGCACCGGGCATGGGGAGAGAGAGAGCCCTGGGGACAGTCTGGGGACAGAGAGAGCCCTGGGGACAGCCAGCCTCCCCCCAGGCCAGCAGGCGCCTGCACCCAGCCCAGCCTGTGGGGAAAGATGCACAGCTGGACTCTTGGGGTGCCGTGTTTTTTGGGGTGGTGGTGTTTAGGAGCTGCGTTTTTCGCCATTCAGGTGTTCTGAGGTGTTGGTTTTTGGGGAGCTGTCCTGGGGGACACACTTTTTTGGGTGTTTTTTTTTTTCTTTGGAATACTGGTGCTTTGAGTTGTTGGGATTTTAGGCTGACCTTGGGGTGTAGGTGTTTTGGAGCACTATTCTTTAGCATGCTGGTTTTCTGGGTTCTGGTGGGGTTTTTGGGTGCTAATTTTGATGGTCTTGGTATATATGGACCTTAAAGTGTGCTGGTGCTTTAAGGTACTGCTTTTTGTGTGCAATTTTGAGTGCTGGATTTTTTGGATGCTGATATTTCGTAGTGTTAGGCTTTTTGGGGTCCTTTTTTAGCACGCTGGTTTTTTGCATTCTGCCTTTTGGGTGTGGTGAAGTTTGAGCTGCTGGGATTTTGAGGTCCACACCCTTTGGTTCTGTTTGGGGGAATTTTGGTGCTCTGGGATGCTGGTGCCTATTTTTTGGGGATGCTATTTTTGGGAGGCACTGGTGATCTGGGCTGACAGAGCACCCTGTCTCTTTGCAGGCTGCCCCTTGCTGACCACCACGGGGCTGTCGGGGCTGGTGCAGCTGCAGGAGCTGGAGGAGCTGGAACTCACCAACTGCCCCGGGGCCACCCCGGAGCTCTTCAAGTACTTCTCCCAGCACCTGCCGTGCTGCATGGTGATCGAGTAGCGCCGGAGCCGGCCCGCCCCGCGCCCTCCCCGGCCGCCATCGCCCACCCCATCTCCCTCCGGCTGCGGGGGGATTCGAGAGACGCCCCCGATTCCATCCGAGCCCGGACATCCCCCGCATCGCCGCCCCCGAGGGACGCGGGGCTCCGGGGGGAGATGGGGGCAGGAGCCCCCCCCGGTACCATGTAAATTCCCCCCACGCCGCCGCCACCGCCCGTGCTCCTCCCGCTGTCCTGCCAATCCCTTCCGGACAGACGAACGGACATCGTGGAAGCCCAAAGTGGGAAGGCGACGCTGTGTGACCCCCCCCGGCCGCATCCTGCTCCCCCCGCCCCGGTGCCAGCGCCACCGAGGATGCTCCAGGGCACCAAAGGACGCTCGCAGGGATGGCCAGAGGAGGATGCTGATTTTGGGGTGGCGGCGGAGGCTGGATGGGTCCCCTGACGCCCCCGGAGCGGGTCACCGAGCTCACCCCCCGTCCCCGCGCTGCGTGTGCCCTCCAGCCCCCCGCCCCGCCTTTGGGGCGCTCTCCCCCGGTGAATAGGATGTCCCTCTCCGCCCGCCCGCCGCCCTCGCATGCTCGCTTGCTTCAGTCTCGTGCTACGGCAGGTTTCGGGGTACCGGGGGGGACGGTGACAAGTGACAGCCCCACTGAGCCCCTCCACGCGCCGGATCCCGCCCCGGGCTGCCCTGGCGACATCCCCCGCGCCCGGGGTACCCTCCTGCACCCCGCGGGGCTTGGGGGGCGATGCCACCGCCGGGCAGCGACCCATCCGTCTGGGATGGGACATCCCGGGGCACCGGGGCCGGGGCGGAGCCACCGCGGCGGCACCGGCAGCACAGAGAGACCGCGGGAGGTGGCACCTCGGACGCACTGCCACCACTGCCACCGCTCTTCCAGCTGAAAAGCCATCGCCCCCGTGCCAGCGGCAAGCGGGGCACCGGGGGGACCCCCGGGCTGAGCCGAGATGGGACCGAGCCGGAGCGGGGCTGGGGGAGCCAGCGCGGGAGGGGCTCGGTGCCCCCGGGCAGTGCCCGCCCCGTGCCACAGCCATGGGAGGAGAGTGGGCACGGACACGGGCACGGGCACGGGATGGGCACGGACACGGACACGGACACGCTTTCGGTTTGTTTTGCCTTTGTACCGGCCGGGAAGGAACTGCTGCACCAACCGCCGCCTCCGCTCCCTGCTTTGTCCGAAACGCCCCTTTTCACCCCAAAATGGCACCAGCTGGAAGGGCTTTGGGGGGTCCCTGGGGCTGCGGGACAGGGTGGCACTGCCGGGGCCCGGAGCACCCCGGCACGGGGGTGGGAGGCTGCCCGCACCCCCAAAGCCTGCAGTGTCCCAGGACAGCGGCACACACAGGTGTCCCCCACCCCCGCAGGTGACAGCGGCAGTTTTGGGGTGCCAGAGCCCCGCAGGTGACAGCGGCAGTTTTGGGGTGCCAGAGCCCCGCAGGTGACAGCGGCAGTTTTGGGGTGCCACAGCCCCGCACAGGTCCCTGGTGCCAGGTTGCACAGACAGCCCCAGCACGGAGCCCATATCGTGCCAGTGACCCCTGCACCCCTCCTCCCCTGTGCACCCCTATATCCCTCCAGTGCACCTGTACACCATCAATGCACCCCATATCCTCCCGGCACCCCCATTTCCCACCTGCAGCCTGACCCACAAGGCTCCCACAGACCTCTGACCCCCATATATCCCCCTGACCCACATCCCTGTGCACCCCCAATTCCCTGAACCCCACATCTCCCGGCACCCCCCCAGGCACACTCCCATGGCAGTGTGCACCTCCCAGTGCACCCTCACACCCCTGTGCACCCCGGTAACGCTCCAGCTCACTCCTACACCCCCAACGCACCCCATATCCCCTCGGCACCCCCATTTCTCACCCTGACCCCCAATGCCCCCCACACCCCCCTGAACCCCGTTTCCTGCTGCGCTCCCAGACCCTCTGGGGTGCACCTCTGGTATCCTCGTTCCCCTCGGATCCCACAGCCCCCTGACATTCCCGGAACCCCCAGAACTCTCTTTGTCCCCCTGAACCCCCAGTCCCCAGTACAGCTCCCATCCCTCCAGCCCCCCTCTTCATCCCAGCGCACCCCACTCCCAGCGCACCCCACATCCCTCCCGATCCCTCCAGACCCCACTTCATCCCAGCGCACTCCACTCCCGGTGCACCCCACATCTCTCCCTATCCCTCCAGCACCCCACTTCATCCCAGCGCACCCCATTCCCAGTGCACCCCACATACCTCCCTATCCCTCCAGCCCCCCACTTCATCCCAGTGCATCCCACATCCCTCCCATCCCTCCAGCACCCCTCTTCATCCCAGTCACCCCCCCTCCCGGTGCACCCCAGATCCCCCCGGCACCCCCCTCAAGGAGCCCTGGACACCCCAATCCCCATTTACCCCCTCGCACCCCTATTCCCACTGCACCCCACGTCCCCCTGGCACCCCCCAACCCCGCATCGCCCCGAACCCCAAAGACTCCGAGCCCGCCATGGCCCCGAGCCCCCAATGCGCCCTATACCGAGGGGGCGGGGTCTGTGGAGGGCGGGGCTTCAAGAGGGGGCGGGGCCTCGAGGGGCACGGGGATGGGCGGGGCCTGATGGATATCCGGGTCAGGAAAGGGGCGTGGCCTGATGCAGGAGGGCGGTCCGCGTACGGAAAATGGGCGTGGTCTACGGGTGGGGGCGTGGTCTATGGGCGGGGCGGACCCCAGCTGGGGAGGCGTGGTCTTACCACAGATAGGCGGGGCTGAACGGGGAGAGGGGCGGAGGGGGCGTGGTCAGTCCACAGGGGGCGGACCCGGGCAGCGTGAGGGGCCGTGTCCCGCCATCGGAAGGGGCGTGGTCTGGCCGTAGGGGCGGATCCTGGTGGCGGAAGGGGGCGCGGTCTGGCAGCAAGGGCGATCCCGGTGGCGGAAGGGGGTGTGGCTTGGCGGGAGTTCGGCGGCGGCGGGGCCTGCTCGGCCCGAGCTGCCGGCGCGGGAACCGGCACCGGGTACGACTTGGGAGCGGCACCGAGGCCCTGTACGGAGGGTGCGGAACCGGGTGGCCGCGGCAGGGGACTCTGTGAGGCGGGACGGGGTTGTGAAGGCGCCCCGGGGGCTCTGAGGGGTGGGAAGGGGCCCTGAAGAGGGTTTAGGGTGGGGGGGCCTCTGAGGGAGCCCTGAATGGGCTCTGAGGGGCTGGAGGGGGCCCTGAAGGGGCTCTGGGTCAGGAGCGGGCCCTGCAGAGAGGGAAGTGTGGGGTATGAGGGGTGCGGGGGGCTGTGGGTCAGCAGGAGGGGGATGTGGAGTATGAGAGGGCTGTGGGTCAGGAGAGGGCCCTGATGGGGTGGGAGTGTGGGATATGGGGGGCTGGGGGTGGCCTCAGGGGTAGGACGGGACTCTTAAGGGTGCTCTGAGAGTGCGAAGGGGCCCTGAGGGTGTGGGAATGTGAGCTGTGAGGGATCAGTGGGACCTGGCAGGAGAGGGCAGTGCTGTGGCAGGAGCTCAGCCTGGCTCTGCAGGACACAGCCCGTGGGAGCCTGTGATCCCTCCAGGAAGCCTGGAGTAACTGCTACCCCCCCTGCTAGAGAAGGAGGATCATCCCCCTGGTTCTTGCAGGCTCGGAGCTGACCGTGGCCTCACTTCACCCCACTTTGTGCTGAGGATGCTGCTCACTTCAGCCACAGCGCTGTACTTGACCTAGATTATCAGCAACAGCAAAACATCTCAGGGTGTGGCTGAGGAGGGAAGAAGGAACCCAGAGAAGGTTTTCAGGAACTCCCTGAGAGGAAGCCACAGAGGGGACTGGGGCTGTATCTCTCTCCCACAGGCGTCTCTGTGGCCACTCACCTCCCTGGCCTATTGATGCAGCCACAAAAAGCCGCGGTCGGAACCACCAGGGCCCGGCAGGAGCTCAGCCTGTCCCTGGCCAGCTCAGGCTGAGGTGGAGCAGGGTGGCCGTGTGGGTGTGCAGGGAACAGCACCCCGAGGACAGGAGAGGAGAGGGGACTGCACCCCGAGGACAGCCATGGAGAAGATGGCCAGGGTCACCACTGCCCTGGGGGGCAACGCGCTGACCGGCCGCACCATGTTCTGCCACCTGGACGCCCCCGCCAACGCCATCAGCGTGTGCCGGGACGCCGCCCAGGTGGTGGTGGCCGGCCGCAACATCTTCAAGATCTACTCCATCGAGGAGGAGCAGTTTGTGGAGAAGCTGAACCTCCGCGTGGGCCGCAAGCCCTCGCTGAACTTCAGCTGTGCCGACGTGGTGTGGCACCAGATGGACGAGAACCTGCTGGCCACCGCCGCCACCAACGGCGTGGTGGTCACCTGGAACCTGGGCAAGCCGTCCCGCAACAAGCAGGACCAGCTGTTCACGGAGCACAAGCGCACTGTCAACAAGGTGTGCTTCCACCCCACCGAGGTGTACATGCTGCTCAGCGGCTCCCAGGACGGCTACATGAAGTGCTTCGACCTGCGCAAGAAGGACTCTGTCAGCACCTTCTCTGGTACAAACATGCCTCTTGTTGTCCCCTTTCCCTGTGGGGAAGCAGAGTTTGGGAGCTTTGTCCTTTCCTTGCTTGTCCCCTCAACCTTAGGAGAGGCAGAGGTTGGGAGTTTTGTCATTCCCCTTGCCCAAAGGGAGGGTTTGCTCAGGGTGTGATGCCCAGAGCAGAGAAAGAAGGAGCTGAGAGGCATTTTGGTGCCTTTTCTTGCCTCTCAGTACTAGCTGGGTCTATGTGGGAGATGGAAGACAGTCACAGCCCTCCCTGCTGCCTTCTCTCTGCTCTCCCAGTGGGATTTTAGCTTTGTGGAGCTCTTACCTTGTGTCCCTCCCAGGCCAGTCGGAGAGCGTGCGTGATGTGCAGTTCAGCATCCGGGACTATTTCACCTTCGCTGCCACCTTCGAGAACGGGAACGTGCAGCTGTGGGACATCCGCCGGCCCGACCGCTACGAGAGGATGTTCACAGCCCACAACGGGCCTGTCTTCTGCTGTGACTGGCACCCAGAGGACAGGTGGGTGTGGGGCCTGCCCCTGCAGCCACCCGGCCTTGCAGGACAAGATAAACCCTGAAAACAGGATTGGGATTTTGTGGGGGAAAACATGGTCTGGGATAGCCTGTCCCCTTGTCTCAGGGGCTTGCATGTTGCTGGGAGATAGGATTGATTTGTTGCTTTGAGCATTTGGGGTGGTGTAAAAGTGTTTGAGGTTTGTTTTTTGATAAACTAGGGGGTTTTGAGGCACTGGGTGTCTTATAGTTGTGTATAGCAGTGTCACAGCAGCCTCTTGCTGCAGTGCTCAGCTTGAGAGAGGCACTGCTTGGTTGCTCAGGGACACAGCTTGCTTGTGTTGTCGTGTTTCCCTCCTGCCTTTCCTGGGAGGTTACTGGGAAGGATCTGGAAGGAGCTGCTACAGTGTGCAGGTCCCTCCTCACTCCCTGCCAGGCAGTGCTGCCGCTGCTCCTGGTCTTAGAGAGGCACTGAAATATGTTCAGAATGGCCTTTTCCTCTCTGCTGTGCCTGGCCAGTGGAAATCTGAGCTAGAGGGAACTGGTCTGACTGGGATGGGCTCTGGAGGTGCAGAGCCATAACTGGGGGCAGGAAGGAGGTGCTGCCTGACCTGGTTGCTGCAGAGTGGAGATGCCAGGGGAGCCCATGGGAGGATGGGATTGCAGCCCAGCTGCCTTCCTGTGGCATGGATGTGGTCACACCTGTGCTGTGAGCATTTTTGTGCCACAGTGGGAACAGAGAGGTGACCACTTGGCTTGGTTTGGAAAGACAGGAGTCTGCTAAGGAGGGCAGGAGCCTCCCCTGAAATGGAGAATGTGAACCCTCCCCACCCCTCTGAATTGCTATAAATTTTAAATTAAGGAGCTCTCAGGCAAAAGTATAGGAGCAGGAATAACAATTCTTTAATAGGGAAGAAAAATAAAAAGACAAAATAAACAATGCAGAACACTAGAACAACACTGACAGAGTCAGAACCCAGCCTGACACCCTGTGGGTCAGGGTGTTGGTGGCAGTCCCATTGGAATTGTGGCTGCAGCCCTCCTGCAGTGTCAGGGCTGGTTCTCTTGGAGCAAGGGGGATCTGTAGAGAAGGATGTATTCTTCCTCTGAAGATCCAGTGGAAGAAGAGGCAGCTGCTGTTCCTCTGGGGAATCCCGTGGAGAAG